CACCCACGGCCCACGCCGGCTTTGGGGCGCTCCCCGCTGCGTGGCCGGGCCCCCGCGGCTGGGACAGCCCCCCATCCCCGCGGGTGTGTGTGACAGCTCCTGTCAACCCCCTCCTGCCGGGATCTGGGGTGTCTGTACCCCACAGTGCTGTGGGGGGTTCCTCACAGAAACCCTCCATCATAGTGGGGCCCTGGGGGTGGCTGTCCCTCTGCTGACCCCATCCCTTGCAGGTCAAGAGGAAGCTGAACTTGGAGACGGATCACCAGTACATAGCGGAGAGTTTGCCAGTGAGCCGGGGCAAGGCCAGGAACCCTGCTAAAGGTATCAGCTCCACTCCCCCTGGCCCCTCTTTGCCAGAGCAGAGGTCCAGCAGCCCCTCTCTGCTCCCTGGTAGGTTTTTCCAGTCCCTTTGTGTCGGTCTGGATGGGCTGTCCCTGGGGCTGGCCTGTTTCTGTCCTGCACTCCCTGCTGTACCCTGTGCTGGTGCCATAGCTGTCCTGCTGGGCACCTCACTGGCTCAGTCCCTCCCTGTGGGATGGAGCTGTAGGTGCCAGCATGGTGTCAGTGCAGTGTCCCAGGTGGATCTGCTGTTATCTCCCCCCTGAGCCCTGCCTGACACTCAGTGTCTCAGTCACAGCTGTGGTCACAACGGAGCACAGGTGCCACAGCCTGTGCCAGCTGCTGCCTCTTACAGGGGCTTTGGGCAGCTCACCCCATTGCCCTGAGAAAACAGGTTGGGTTTGGGGTGCCAGTCCTGGTCTACAAGGCACCTGCAAGCGTGGCAGTTTTGTCACCTTTCAGCTTCAGCTCTGGGTTTCCCCTGTGGCTAAATGACACTTGTCCTCCATGTCTGGCAGGGGCAAAGTCTCCTGGAGAGAAATCCCGCTATGAAACCTCCCTGAACCTCACCACCAAGCGCTTCCTGGAGCTGCTGAGCCAGTCCCCAGATGGTGTGGTGGATCTCAACTGGGCGGCTGAGGTCCTGAAGGTGCAGAAGAGGCGCATCTACGACATCACCAATGTCCTGGAGGGCATACAGCTCATCACCAAGAAGTCCAAGAACCACATCCAGTGGCTGTATGTCCCCTGGCCCATGGGGCTGTGTCTGGCTGTACCCTGGGGAGGGGGAGGGTTTTACTTGGGTGAAGAATTTCAGGGCAAGGTCACCAGAGCTTCTGCTGCAAGCCAAGTGGTGGCCCCCTTTGGGAAGGGCTGTGCTCAATGGCACCAGGCTCCTGAGCAGCGTTGGTATCACCTGCGAGTCCCCCTGGGGCTCCCCAAGTCATGCAGGGGAGTGGGAGGCTGCATCCAGCCTTGGAGAGCGATCTGCTGCAAAATCCCTGCGGGTCTGGTTCCCTGGGTGTGGGGTGGGATGTGGCCTGGCCTCGGTGAGGCAGAGGAAGCTGTGGGGGTTGGCTGCTGATGGGCACGGTGCTCCCCAGGGGCAGCCAGGCCACGGTGGGAGCGCCAGGCCAGCACCGGCTGCTGGAGAAGGAGCTGCGGGAGCTGCAGGCGGCCGAGCGGCAGCTGGATGACCTCATCCAGATGTGCACGGTGCAGCTGCGCCTGCTCACTGAGGACCCCGCCAACCAGCAATATCCTTTGGTTCTGGGGTGGGGCTGGCTGGGTGGTGGCTGTGGTTGAGCCTCGGTGTCACAGGCAGGCTGTTTCTCAGCCCACATCCCCACATCCCTTCCTTGACCCGCCCCACCGCAGCCTATGTGACCTGCCAGGACCTCCGCAGCATTGTGGACCCCGCGGAGCAAATGGTGATGGTTATCAAAGCTCCCCCTGAGACCCAGCTGCAGGTCTCAGATGCAGCAGAGGTGAGTTGGGGTCAGGCTCTGCTCCTCCTCTGCCCTCCCTGAGCAGCCCCCCGTGCCCTGGGCATCCTTGTGCCACCTTGTCTCACTCCTGTCCCCTTCCCCAGGCGTTCCAGGTCTCCTTGCGAAGCACTCAGGGCCCCATTGACGTGTTCCTCTGCCCCGAGGACAGCTCGGGGGTCTGCAGCCCCGTCAAGAGCCCCTTCAAAGCCCCTGCAGAGGACTCTTCTCCCAGCCATTCACAGCCCAGAGCCTCCCTGCTCCTGCATCCCGCCCAGGATGTGAACATGCCGCTGCTGCCCGGAGAGCAAGGTGGGGCTGGGGACACAGGGAGCTGGTGGGATGTCACGGTGGCTCTCATCAGCCCCTTTGCTGTTGGCACAAGCAAAGAGCTGGCATGATGCTTGGGCACCCCCAGCAAGGCAGGGAGGGGGGAAGGCAGGATCTCCATAGCCAAAAAAGCTTTTTTGAGGGTTTATTGGGAGATTATTATGGGATTTACAGCTGCTCTTCACCCCCACAGAAGCGCTGCTGCCAGGGCCGAGTGTGCTGCCTGGCAAGAGCCCGGAGGAGGAGGTGAGCCTGTCTCCACTGGCCTCCATGGACATCCTGCTGGAGCAGAGCAGGGAGGACTTGGCGGGTTTCTTGGCCGATGAGTTCATCAATCTGTCGCCGCCGCAGGCGCAGGACTATCACTTTGGGCTGGAGGAGGGCGAGGGCATCAGCGAGCTCTTCGACTGCAACTTTGGGGACTTCACCCCCTTGGACTTCTGAAGCTGTGCCCGCCCTGGTGCTTGGGGGAGCTGCCAGGGGAGGGGGCAGCCCTGGCAGGGCGGGCAGGGCAGGGCAGCCCCTCAGGCTCCAGCGCCCGCTGTTCCTCCCCCATCCCTTTTTGCAATATTTTCTCCTTATCCCTCCATCCCCCCAGCCTGGTGGGGGCCGATGGCATCCTCAGCTCCAGCCCCACAAGGAGGGTGCCAGGGTGGGGTTCCCATCTTGGGAGACCCCCCCACAGGGCCCTGATCAGGGGAAACTGCCCAGGGCAGAGCCTCTGCCCCCCAGGAGCCCATTCCAGAGCTTTAAGCAGTCCTGTGTATAGATTAATGATTTGATTAATTTATTATTGTCCCCTGGGGACAGCGTTTCATTTCCATGGGGGTTTGGGGGGGCTGTACAGCTGAGGGGGTGCTGAGAGTTTTTGTTGTGCTGGGAGGGGGTGGTGGAGGTGTGGGGGGTGCTGGGCCAGGGCTGTCCCCCTGCATGGGGGCTGCCCACAGCCTGTCTGAGCGTGGGGTATTTATTTATTATTTATGGCGTGTGGAGCTCTCCCAGGACATGGAGGGAGCAGGAGGACAGTGCTGGAGGGACCCAGAGGGTGCCACCAGGGTCTCACCAGCACATCCTGGCTTTGCTTGTGTCCGAAATGGGGCTGGCAAGGCCATGGCTGTGGCAGGTGGCTGCAGGAGCGGGGATGGGGCTGGTGGCCCTGGGACCATGTGCGTGTCCCCTGGGGGCACAGAGGTGTCCAGGGGAGCGTCTCTGCAGGTGAGCACCCAACGCTGTCTCCAGGCTTTCCTTCCCCTCCCTGTGCAGCCATTCAGCCCTTTGGCTCTGGCTCTCCATCCCCAGGCCACGGGGGCTGGGAGAGGAGGGGAGGGGGGTCCTGGGGTCCCCTGGGCTGAGCTGGAGACGCACTTTGACTTTCACTGCCATTTAACAAGCTTGTGTTCCTCTGAGCTTTGTGTTCAATAAAGGTTTCTACTGACTGTCCTTTGGCTGTGCTCAGGTGCCTAGGGGTGGTGGGGACCTCAGCTGAGAAACCAAGAGGTTTGGGCTTATTTTGTGGTCTGTTTTCTGCTTTGAATTTGAAATACACGACCGGGTATGTCTGTCCCTGAGGTGACAAGAGGTGCTTGGGTGGTCCTTGGTCCCACACAGGATGGGATCTGGGGCTGATCCTGCCCTCCCTGCTCCTCCAAAGAGGCTGTGCTGCAGGAGGATGGGGTGATGGGTCTGGATGGGGTTTGCTTTCCTTTCAGCAGTCCCTGTCCCTCACTTGGCTCCTCTCCTGCCTGGTCTCTTCCCTGCCTTCCCCCAGTTTTGGGGCAGTGTTTTCCTGGCTGTGGCTGCAGCATGTGGCCATTGTGAAGACACTCCATCCTCTGAGTTCCCACTGTCCCCTGTTCACCCCAGCTCTTGGTGCTGCCTCAAGGCACCTGCTGGCACCAGTTTCTGGCCCAAAGTTTGATGTCCCTGTGTCCTTGCTCTCTGGTATGCCAGCCTTGACTCTGGTATGCCTCTGCAGCACATCAGGACTGAGGGACACTGGGGACCCCAGGGAGGGATTCTTGCAGGTGCCAGGACAGCCAGGATGGGGCTCAGCAGGGCCATGGCCACTGCCCCAGTGGCAGGGGCTCAGCAGGGCCATGGCCACTGCCCCAGTGGCAGCCAGGGGTGTGCTACTTCCTGCCCGTGTTTGTGCACTTTCTGCCCTCCTCCTGCCCAGCCTCCTGCCTGGTTTTCTTTTAAACAGCCTGATAAATATTTCACCCTGACCGTGTTGTGTAAACTCACCCTGCTCCTGCAGCAGCAGGGAATGGGATCCCAGGCTCAGGACAGGCTGCTGGTGGGTGCTGGGTGGCACAGAGAGCTCATCACCACTGCCTGGCCTCCTCCTGCACCCTGTTCCCACCCCCGAGGCAGTGCCTGGCTGGCTGTGCTGCCCCTGCATTGCTCTTACAGCTGGACACGTGGGGATGGCAGTGTGCAGGTGTGGGGTGCCAAACCCCACGGCTCAGCTCATACCATTCCCTCTCCCAGCTTTCCCAGCCCTCCAAAGCAGGGCAGCAGGGCCAGGCAGGGCCCAGCAGGGCAGTGGCACACACAGGCTGCCATGGGTGAGCCCTGTGCCTGGGTGGGAAGAGCTGGGGCTTGTCACGCTCTCACCCCTTCAAATGGGGCTTTTTCAGCCAATGATGCTGGAACAATATTCCTGCTGCTGTGATCCATGGGATTCCTGCCCCACAGAGCCAGGGCACGCACCAGGTGGGAGGGCACACACCCAGCTCCCTGCCTGCCATGTCCCCCACTGCAGGGTTGGTGTTTGTCACCTGAGGCAGGTGCTGGAGGTTTTATGAGTTACTGCAGGGTGCCCAGCCATATGCCAACTCCTCCTCATCCATCCCTCCTCCTCTGCTCTGCTCAGCTCCATCGTGATGGATGTCGCTGGTGATCTGCAGTGCTGCCAAAGGGGAGAGACCCCGGCACAGGAAAGGGTTTTTATGGGAGCCAGGAGGCACAGGGAGAGGGGAGAGGATTGACACTGACATCCTGAGCTCCACAGGGCTGCTCCCACAGCCACCCAAGCCCCAGCAGCGACACAGCCCTGCCTCTTTCCCCTGGGCAAACCTCTCTGATGGCATCCCTGGAACCTCCCTGGACCCTACATCCCTTGGCATTCCCAACACCCATGGAAGCATCCCCGGCAGGGACAGGGCCGTGCCCCACTGCGGCAGCACAGCCCATCCCTGGGGGCTGCATCGGCAGCTCCACGTGAGCCACAGCACCGTAAAAATAAGCACTCTGCCTCCCAGGATGATTCACGATGCAGCTGAAGGGCTTCCCTGCTGCTATTTCGGATGGCTGGAGGGGGAGCTGATGGGAGCTGCTTTGGAAGAGCACACGGCAGCGTTGGGAAGCAGCCCCAGGCAAGCCTGGTTTTATTTGTCTGCTCCAAAGATGCTTTTCACGGTCAGGAGATGGGCACCTTGCACATACCCTGCCTGCTCCTTGGGCTCTCAGCTCTCATTCCCAGGCACTGTGACCCCCACAGGGACCACGTCCATCCAGCCCTGGCGTGCTGTTGGGCAGCAGTGGTGATTCCATCAGCCCTGGAACATGCTGTGCAGGATCTGGCCACGGTGCTGAGCCCAGCAGCCCTGGGGTGCCCTGTCCCTGAGCTGCAGGGTTGGGATCTGGGGTGTCCTGTCCCTGAGCTGCAGGGTTGGGATCTGGGGTGTCAGGAGAGCTCCACAGTGGGATGAGCTCCAGGACAGGCTGGCAATAGGTGACCCCCATAAGGGGTTTGTACCTTTAACCTAATCCCCCTCAGAGGGTCCTAGAGGGGTTTGGGGTCTCTCCAGGCAGGGCTGTCCTACCCCACATCTGCATCCCACCTCACACTTCCTGATTTCCACTTCCAAAAATCTCTCATTTCCTCCATGAGGAAGGACCTTAGGGAGGTGAAGAGAAGCATCATTTATTTCTGGGATGCTGTTGAGTGGGTACTTCCTTTAATTCCAGCCTGTTGTGGTTTTCTGGGAGCAGAGCAGAGCCCTGGTGCCCCCCACAGCCGGGGCCATGTCCCCCTTCCCTGCCGTGGCTTTCTGGGAGCCCCTGTGGAAGTTGGGAGCACCTGGCAGGAGCCATCAGCAGTTTTCTGAACTTCATCCTCACTCAGCTCAGGAGCTCAGGCTGCTCCTTCCTGCATGGAAACTCACCCTGACTCTGAGGGATCCCACTGGACTCCAAGCATGGATTTTTGGAGCAGATGGGAGCGTGGGAAGCCCTTGCAAGGGTTTAATCCACGGCAGAGCCCCACCATCACCCAAGCCCCTTCCATGCTCCCTGGCAAGGTGATTCCCCTGTCCCTGCTGCATCCCTCACCCGTGTTTTGTCCCCATTCCCGTTTCAGTTGGATTTGATGATGGCCACACTCAACAGCTCCAGCCCTCGGACCTCTCTGCCTCCCTGGGGACAGCCCAAGTGTGGGGAGTGCTCGTGCACCCCGGAGCCCTTGGATGCCCCTGCCAGGGCCCAGGTGTGCTTTTTCCACCTCTTTTGCCTTGAACACACCTGGAACAGCTGGGAGATGGTAAAAATAGCTGAGATGCCGTGGGCTCAGCTTGGAGAGTGCTATCCCAGAGGGAGCAGGAGCTCCACGTGCCACAGATCAGCACGTTGGGGTGGGGAAGGAGCTTGGATCAGAGGCCTGGCTTAAGCAGAGCTGAGCTCAGCAGTCAGGGTGTCCTGGAGAGCTCCATGCAGAAGCTGAGGTGCTGAGGGAGGCAAACCTGCCCGGGATTCTGCAAAATCCAAGCAAAACTGGTTCATGCTCCTTTCTCAGTAAGAGAAATTCTGGAATGCAGGCCAAGTGCCTGTGCCAGGCAAGGGATGGGGACAGATCCTTCTCCTCCTCCTCATCTCCCCCAGCCTGCTGGGGCAGGGTGGGGTTCACATCTCTGGAGCTGTTGGGATCCTGGTGTGTTGCTCCGGAGGGAAGCAGTGCAGAGCAAAGGCTGCCTGGCACTGTGGGCATGGAGGAGCTGGCACCACCAGGAACTCATTTGGAACCACCCTGGGTGTCAGGGGACCTCTCCAGGACCACCAAAACCACGGTGGGACCACCTGTGGTCAAACTGGGGCCAGCCCAGGGCCAACTGAGGAAAACGGGATTTTCTCAGTGCCAAGAGTGTCCATGTTGGGACCACCTGCAGTCAAACTGGGACCAACTGGGACAATCAGGGCTATCCCAAAGCCAACAGCGACTGCACTGGGACCACCTGTGGTCAAACTGGAACCAACTGGGGCCACAGTGGGACAACCAGGGCTGTGCTAGGACCAGCCACGACCACACTATGACCACCATGGTCAAACTGGGGCAGCCCCAGGGCCAACTTGGGCAGTCAGAGCTACCCTGGAGCCAAGAGCAACCACACTGGGACCACCCATGGTTCAACTGGAACCAGTTGGGGCCACATTGGTGTGATCAGTGCTACAGTGGGGTCAACAGCAACCACACAGGGACCACCCACGGTCAAACTGGGACCACTTGGGGCCTCGCTTAAGGCACTCAGGGCTACGGTGGGGTCAACAATGACCACACTGGGACCACCCATCACGAGACCAGAGCCACCCTAGGGCCAGCTGAGCCACCCAGCGCTACTGCAGGGCCAGCAGTGACCACACTGAGACCACCCGTGGCCACATTGGGATGGACTGGGGCAACCAGGGCTACTGTGGAGCCGACACTGAGCCGTGCGGTCACACGGGGACACTCAGGGATGGACACACAAGCCATGCGTGGGAGCACACCGGGCTCTACTGGGTCCAACCGGGACCGCCCCAGCGGCGAGCGGGCACCGGGACACGGCGCGGCCCCGCCCCCTCCCCTCCAACAAGCGCATTGGTGGTTCTTGGTGCCAATCACGGTTC